TTTATTTCCCTCTCATCACTCAGCCATAAAGCGGAAGCTCGTATTTTCCATATCTGTCGTCGATTTCAGAGTAATATCTTTTTTTTCTCTGCAATGACCCTCGGGTCTTCTCGGTCTTGTCAAGTCGTTGGAAGAACACGCGAAATTCAACGGCATCGTCGCGTCGTAGGATTCAACCGAGGAAGGGTGGAACGAGAAATTGGAGACGTGTACAGGAGAAAAATATATACGTGGCCTCAAGGTCCAAGGGGCTGCGATGTTGTCTTCTGCAACGAGGATTTGCCTTCGAGGAGGTTGCGGTGGCCAGAGGAGGGAAGAAAACCACCCCGCTAAGCCTCCATGATTCCACGAGATAAACCCTCATATTATGTCGCCCGGGATAATACGAAAAACCCACTGTCAGATGTGCTACGTTGTGTACGTATATAAATGCTTACAATATACCCGGTGTCGCTAAACAAAAGAATTGGGGTTTAACATGAAAATTTAAGAATTTTAATTAATTTTAATTGAGTTTTAAATGAAATGAGTTTAGAATGAAAACGGTATATTTGTAAAAAACGAAACGTGTCTATATAATTTGAAAGAATGAATCAACTATGGAGAATGAAAAGCGAAGTGCATATTAAACGACGAACCTTAATTTTTTAGAGTATCATGGACGTCAGTATATTACACCAGCTCTGAAAAGCTCTCTTCAACAAAAAACTGCGCGTCTTACCCTCATCCAACTCTTTTGTTTTCGAACACCCTATGTATATACGCGTACATGCATAAAGATTTCACGGATGGTATGTTCAGAATGAAAATCTACGGAAAGAAAAGACCTAATCAGCGAACAAAAATAATGAACAAACATAATCGTACACCATTCGTGTTCAACATTGACAAAATTTCAACTTGATGTCCATTTTATTATAGAAAATTTCTTTTCTACAGTGGATATGGGATCTAAATGAACTCGTGGTAAAGAATCTCAATCTATTTAAAGATGTATGGGTGAAATGACTACAGCGAAAGGGTTAATGACCAGTACTGCTTTAATGCAGCTATATAAATAAACAATCTGGTGTGTAAAAATCACATTAGTTCACTGTTTGGTTCTTAATGGATTAAAAAAAGAAAATGAATAAAAACGAGAAACAGAGACAGTAACACAATTCACTCGAATTTACGATAGAACGTTAATCAGCTCGAAATACGAACGGTTCGCGCGAACAGCGTTAATCGGAAAATAATTTTGCGTGCAATTTCGTCGAATTAGTAATTTATTTTATAGCCGTCCGAGAGATACGCGGGCCCTCGTAAAATGGTCGTAATAAAAATTGAGCACGAACCCGTGCGAAAGCAAGCAGTAACATAAGCGAATCGAGGGGAAGGAGTCATCTAATTCGAGAATTTAGAGCTTAGATTATTACAGAGATTGATCCTCAGATAATTCTGTTAATCTTCAAACCAAAAATCTCGATAAACGAAGAGAAAATAAAATAAAATTTTCGAACTCGTCTGTATAAGCGCAGTTACTCGCGCGAGAATCGCGTTGACGAGCAAGAGAAACGCGAGGAATTCCGCGTTATGGTCGCGATACAAGAGACCACGATTTTGATTATCGCGTTAATGATGGCCTCACGTGAGAATAAGGGCCAATGAAAGGCAGGATGTTAAAGTTTAAGCGTACTGACACGGGGCCAAGCGGAGAAAGGGCCGTGAACGAGTGATCCCCGAGGACCACCGTGATCACGACCCTGTTTACGAGGTTCTTCGGTCATTAACAAGCAGGGTGAGGGGGGGAAGGGCAGGATCGCGAGGGTGGTTGTCGAGATAAAAACGGGCCGTTCCACCAGAAAGGGAAGGGAACCGAGGGAAAGAGGGGGAGAAGCAAAAATCGTAACGATGAACAAGCTGGTGGGCAGCGGTGCAATCGGTTGGTCCCGTTGAAATTCAACTTGCCTTTTTATCCTTTCCCGACGCGACTGATATAGTTTAGGGCCGCAATAAAGGTGGGACCGGGCCGCATCGATTTACGGCTTAATTAAACGCACCACGTCCCCAACGAAAAATCGTCGAAACGCCGCTGTTTCCTTAAAGTTCCTTAAATACGAGCCACCCATTGCCGAGCATGGGATCGTTTATGGCTATTCGACGGCCCCTTTCTTCCTCGTCGGCCACCGATAAAAGTTTCTTTCCTTCTGGCTATTCGCTCGGGGAACAGATTTTTCTTTCTCTTATTTCAATGATTGTTCAAGAATTTTGAAATAATTATCAACGACCGTTTGATTTTAAGTTATGACAAAATGTTTGGGTGGAATGAACTGTATGGGAGGAGGGGTTGTATCTGTTCACTAAAATCCATAAAATTATCATTTTTAATTAAACTTCACTGTTAATGGACTACTATTTAATCCCTTGAGCAGGTTATTATACGTTGACCAAATTTATAATATGAGTTTAGGTATGGTATAATATAAATGAATTCTCTTCTTTTAAGTTCTTGAAAGAATCTTTCTACATAAAAAAATAAAATTTAGAATTATAAGACACTCGGCTTTAAGCTTTTGGATATTAAATTAAACATTTTTCTAAGTATATCATATTCAGTATCAAAAACTCAGATGCATATTTCTAAAAACCAACCCCCATCGATTATTCAAAAATAAAACAGCTTCACATTCACTTCGTATCCGCAAAAGTAACCAGTTTTCTCTCGGTCTGAAAACACGTTTACCATCTTCCTTATAAACGCTACCGCGGAAGCGAACAGAGAAACGAGCGAAAACAGAAAGTAGTAGAAAGACGGTTCGAGGGGGAGGGAGGGCATAAAAAGCGAGTCGCGGAGATGCAGGTCGCATCCGGCCCAGCTCGTCGCCTTCCACTCCCATTTGAATAAAAGCAACGATAAGCACATTCTTAGAGTCACTCGCAGTTCTGAATTGTTTCCGCTTCTTAAATCCCCGACAAATTTATTATAATAACTACCCTTAGCCGACGGATCTCGCGGCTCGCTCCTTTCACCCCTCTGCGCCGGTAGCAGCTCGTTCTCCGCTTTCGTCTTCGCGAGAGATACACTTCCGTCTTCCTTTCTCTCCCCGCTATCCCGTAATCCTCTCCTTCGTTTCTTTTTCTTTTTTTCTTTTACCAAGAGAACTCCCTTTTCTTCGTGGCCGCGAGGCGAAAGGAAGGATCGTTTCCACGAATAATGCGTTCGTTCTCCGCCACGCGGCGGAGGAACTCGGGATAACGGGATGCAGAGGAGAAGGGAAGGGCATCAATTGCAATATTCCTGGTGAAAACATTACGACAACGAGTTTCGGCTCTTTTACGCGGCGCCGCGAACGACGCTCTCTCTTTTCCGCGAAGACACCTGGTTTTTCGTCGCGGATTACGCTCGCGACTACGCGGAAAACGCGACCGACCCGCTTCGCGAAATACTCGTCGTCGCGTTAATAGAGTCCTTTGTCGTTCAGCGTGCGTTTTATGCACGATGATTTATGGGAAGAAAGAATGGTACTACTAAAATAGAAGTTATTATCAATAATTCAATAATAAACGTTAAATGGATTAAATTAGATGAAAAATTGGATTTCACGTTAAATCTTGTTATCTATGTTTATTTAATTTGATGCTCAATCCTTTGTGAATAATTTCACTCGGATAGGGTTCTCGTATTTCATCCTCGAATCAAGTCACAGTTCCACTTCGTACTTCGCCAGTAGAACTATCTCATGAAATCCTTTAATTCTACCTTTTCTGTCCTGTTCTATCCACTTCCGTTTCCCCTAAAAACGCTCGTAATTCGCGCGTAAAATATTCCCTAAAATTTTCCCTCGAGAAAGGAACGTCCCACCGGAAAATGAGGACGCTTCCGTGAAAAATAACGAGCCAGCCGCTTTTCAGTTTACGCTTGTCGACTAGGAAAAAAACCAACGTTTAAAGCATCTCCGTTCAAGAGCGTTCTATTTGCGGTTGGAAAAATCGAACGAAAGAAAACTTAAATAGTTCACACGACAATCGCAAACTAACTGTTAAGATGCGAAAAAGTTGCGAGACGACAACAAGAACAACGGTCAATTGTAATATTGTGATAACTCCTGGACGAGATACTTAATGTAAAACTTTTTCTTTTAACTCGCCTTTTTTCCTTGTAATGCTTTATCTATTTGAAAACGGAACATGACCTAAAATATTTTTATTTCAGAAGACGCTGTCTAATTCTCACGCTATAAAGTCGAAAAACCAAGCGAAGCACGTTCGTCTCGTTAGTTCTGATAAAAAATCATCTCTCGTAAGGTATAAGAAGCAACGTATCGAATCAATTGGTGGCCGCAGGACGAGGAAGGCGCGAAGGAAACAAAGGAGGAACGGGATTACGCGGGAAGAAACGCAAGAAGGTGGCGCCAAGAGATGGAGGTCGTGGCTGGAGGGTTCGGTGCTTGCGACGTGGTATTTACGACGTCATTTCCTCGCTGACTGTCAATAATTTCCCTGGGGGATGTGGAAGACACCGACTCTCTCTCGTGTGCCACGACCGGCTTGCTTTCTTTCTTACCCGCTTTTTCCTCCTTCTGCTGACGCCGCCGCATCCCCTTTCCGCCATGAAAACCTTCCACCTCCTTCTCACGCAAATTGAAAAGCCACACCGACTAAAGCCGAGACGTCCTCGAGATACTGTTTCGTGGAAAAGTAATATCGCGCAGATGGAATGAGATTGCGACGGATGGTCCACGATACATTTTTGATAATATTTCTCTTATACCATTTGAATGGCTTTTTAGAATGTGGAATAGAAAGTCGCGTTGAGATTGGATATGGAGAATAAATAATTGCGATTAATCCTTCGAGCTAACACCTCTAAAGATAATTATTTTGAGTGATATTGTTATTGCAATGTACTATTAGCACATTATCAATAAACATATTTAAATGAAAATATTAATATGGAGATTGAATCATTGCGATTAATCCTTTGATCCAACACCTCTAAAGATAATTGTTTTGAATAATATTGTTATTCCAATATATTATTAGCACATTAACAATAAAAATATTAAAATGAAAATATTTCTTTTTATACCTGCTCTCGAAAAAATGACAGCTTGTTATAATTCCTTTCAAGAAGAATTCATTTCAACCCTCTATAAAAGAGCCCCCTTTAAGGAATCTTTTTCTCAAACCGTCTCATTCAATCCCAGTTAATATCCAAAGAATCAGCTGATCCTAATGAGGCATCTCCTTTAACTAATTTACAATCAGCGCCCTCGTGGCCGACTCGCAAGGGTCGAAGGAGAACAGAGGAAGCCGAAGAGGAGCGCGCACCTAAGTTTCCGCACTTTCTCTGTCCCGCAGGGGTGGTCGCCTTCATGACCCAGAACTCTTTAATTTCACCGTCCCGTACTACCGTGGTATCCCCTTTAACTCATTAGACTCAATCAATTATACGAGCGTACGGTTACAGTGGTCTCTTTTTCTTTTTCTTCTTCGTTACTCTGTCCCTCTTCCGCTGATACCAGCAGCCCTCTGCCGTCTCGCTCAACAACCCTGTCCTAATCCCTCGACCGAGACCCCGACTGGTATCCCGAGATACCAGGGTTTACCAAGGTAAACCTCTTAGCGTCGCGACGCCTACGAGTCAAGGTTACCAGCATCGAGAAGTTGGAGAACTCGATGAATGGCCCAGAATTGATCCATCGAAGAAATCTTACCTGTAACAGAAAGTTGAAGATTCGAGTTAGAGGTGGAAACGATCTTGTTTGTTACTTGGGGAATTAGCAAATAGGGGAAGTTAACGGGGCGAGGGTTGCGAACGTTGCCTTATGATATAGTGAAGCAAATCAAATTAAATCAAATTAAATTATAATTATAATTTTCAATTTTAACATTGCAGGAGTAAATAGGCACAATTCCTTCCATAATGAATAATAAACCTTCTAACAATTTCTCCTTCAAACCTACTAAGAAAGAAATAATGGAAAACAGTGTTAGGGGGTTGAAGAACATGCGACGACCCAGCAGAGTCTTACAACTTTGCCTTCGTTATCCTAATCTACCACAGTCGGACACAGGCACAGGCACGCACAAATGCTGGACTGGTATAGACGAAAGAAAGGGGGACGCATTATGGCAGGGTGGGCCATTCGTTTTCTCCACGACCAGGTCCGTAATGTCGGCCGATAAGGCCCCGATAATCCAGGCTCGCGTAGTGTGTTAGCCGGCAGTTAAAACGTTATCGTCCTGAATCTCGTGTTATTCGTCAGGGCGTGACGAGTGGGTGGAATTTTACGTCCGGACCTCTCCTCTACGTCTCTACCGTTCTATGCTGAAATAAACTCGATAATGTGAGCTTATAACGCTGGATATCCGTCCTCGATCGGCATTACGATCGACTTAATGAATCGAACGCGTGTCATGGCCCGCAACCATCGTAATTATACGTACCACACGGACAAATTAATTTGCCTGGCCGTTGATCACACAACGCGATACGACGCGAACGTGATACGGGATAACGAGGGTGCGATTCCGTTGTGTGTGCGATACCATTTGCATCAAAAACATGTGCTGCTTAGTCAAATTGTTGGAATAAGATCGTTGCTCTTGTTGATTTTCACTGGATAATCATTATTTCGGGCAGTTGATTTTACGCGTTGATTGTGTGGGCTACATAATTATAGAGTTACTTAAATTAAGTGGCACATTTACATAAATATTTGAGATTTGTCAAGTTTCCTAAATATTTTAACACACAATATTTACTTTGTGCCATTAATTAAGGAATACAATATCGCTCAAATCAACACCCTCAGCTTTTTTTATGAGTCAGATGTTTTTTTATGTTTGCAAATAAACAAACAAATCGTCGGAGAATTAGTCCGATCAATTCATAGCGGTGTCGGTGGTTTGCGTGCCGACGTCGGTTCAGGAAGGTCGTTAAATAATTTCAGAGCATGGTAATTAATGGCGAACGCCTTGTTATCGCGTCGAGCGTGAAACAACGCGTGCGGTTCAAGCCTCGGGACGATGTCATATTTATTTCGTTAATCTCTCAGCCCTTGCTTCCTCGCCACCAGCTTCGTCGTGTTCCTATCGTTCTCCATAATGGTGGACGATAAAGAAGAAGAACGCTTATCGGTATTAACAAGCCGATAACACGAACACTTAATTTTTTACCACGAAAACGAATACGTTCACGTGCGGTCGCGTTCCACGAGATTAAAATATTCCACGGTGAAATTGAATAGTTACTCCACTATAGATGGAACTGCCATTTATTAAATTTTTTGTATTTTATTTTTGACTAATGAGATTATTAATAAATTAATATCTAATGGAATAATAATACCCTGGAAGCCTCAAAATGATAGATTAAATTAATAATTTAAAAAATGGTGAAAATATTTTGTAAAATTGCATCATTTCGAAATAATGGTTGCAGAGAATTTCGAATTCTAACGTCGTCACTTGAACGGAAGAAATGCCAAGAAGAAGAGCTGAAAGGGAAGCAGAGGGACTGTCAAGGCTGCAGGAACGCGGCTAGTGATATTATGCAGGATAGGCAGACAGGAAACGGTGTAACGTTGGTCGTAGACCCTGTATACGAGGGTGGAATATGCTTAACGTTAATTTGTACGATAAAGGAATTATTGATTTTTACTTAGGTGGCTCAGTCAAGGGTGAGAGAGGTCGGAGGGGGTGATGAAACGCCGCTTTAAAGCAGAGGTACTAATGAGATGCCTTCAACACGATGTTCAATTCTTCCTTTCACCCATTTTCATTTTCATAATTCTTTAAACGCGCGAAGTATTCGATTGAACATCTAGTTTTAATAAACAATTATTTTAATAAACAATTAAGCCCAAGGAAAAAGACTGGTCAAGACTGTTAATTAGAAAATACTGAAAATATGCTATTTCTTTTAATTAGAAAATTTCAAAAAAGTTTCGAAGAAGAAGACTCAATCGATGTAGCCGTTTCCATTAAACTTATATGGTATACCTAAGCATCACTTAATGCCATATTATAATATTTCAAAAACCCACCCTACTTGACATATAACAATTTAAAAAGTTTCAACGCAACATGAGCCATACTGTCAATACGTGTATATTTCTAACAAATTGAATCTTTCTAAGGGTGATAAAACGTACGGGTTCAGTGCACTTTCGTTGGCCAGGGCGTTCGCCGATGAAAAGAAATTTCCTTGGCGATACGACCGCAAGCAGCCCGGTAAACCAGCCTCGTAACACGGCCGGTCAAACTTTCGCCACGCGCACAGTGGTCGTTGCCCGCGTGTGAGTGTGGTTCGCGCTCGCTGGCTTTGCCGCGGCTAGAAATTCGGAGTAATAGGAAAACTCCGTGAGCGGAAAAGAAGTTCAATCTAGCCGGCCGAGGGAGAAGCCTGGAAAAGCTCTTTTGACTCCTTTGATTCCGACTCGGCCACCCCAACCACCTTCTAAATCTTTTCCACCCTCTTCGCCGGCGTCGCCAGCGACGTCGAGTCGCGCTTTACTCCAGAACGTTTTCCAACCATGCCAAGAGGATTCCAAAAGTTGCTTTGCCAATCTACCCTGCGGCTGTGAGCGTTCGGGCCAGTCTCGAAAAATCTCGCTACAACCCCCTCAGACCACCCCCTTTCAACCACCGCCGAGGTGAAGAACGATGGCCAAAGAAAACTACATTTTCTACTCGTGATATTTTCACGCGATCCTTCAATGGATCAAGAAAAAATGGAAGATTTATAATTAAATCAAAATTGATCACCATTGCGATTCATAAAACAATGAAACATTATAGTTGAAAAATCCTCTTGAATCTCATTGTCAGAGAGCGTTTCAAAGAGTCTTTCAATCCGCGTGAAAAGAAAACACACCGGCGTGTTTCCGCCATTTTCCGAATGGCAATCTTTCCGCGACGCGAAGCATATCCTTTCCCTTCCTTTCGCCAGTCCACTGACGTTCACCTCATTATATTTCCTTCATTTGTTATACCCCATTGCCAGTAGGTCAGCGAAATACTAACCAACTTCCCCATTATCCTTGAAAGGTCACCTCTCGCAGAGGGTGAGAAAGGGTGGCGCGGTGGGTGGGGGTGGAATCGCGATGGCAGGGGGAACGAAGTCGATGGCAAAGAAATAATGAAACTCCGTGCCAGGAAAGTGCTCGCTTTATTGACAAGAGGGCCCCGGAGAACGGGCAGGAGGTGCGACGAGGGAAAATATAGTGCTTCCATATCCGTGCGCGGCTGTCTATCGATTCTCGACGAGTATAAAGTACTGCGATTCCGTCCGACGCCGTCGCCTACTCGACGGAATAAATTTGCGATCGCCCGGGTAAAACGGGATGAGAGAGTCGCGAGGAAACCCGTGGGGAAGGGGTCGAACGGGACGTGGTGGCAGGAGAAAAAAGGAACAGAGGGAGTTAGAGGAAATGGAAGAGGCGTCGGGAAAGACGTGTACGCTGGCGCCTACGATCGAGATGAAATTTTTCGAAATCCCTACTCTTTCATTGACGTTCATTCTTCGTTAAGAATAAAGATTGAAATTGTTTGCAGCTGATATATTGGGTATTATTGTTAATACTTTCCTCAATAGAAGAATATTATCTAATGGATTTTATAGAAAAGGAATTGGAAATCTTTTTCTATGTAAAGATTGTTATAGAGGAAGATAATTATTCATTAATAACAATAATTCTTATAATTTCCAAATTGAAATTGATATAAAATAAGGATGAACGAATTATTGCCTCGTGTAAATCCTTTGCCACAACGAAACATGAACAGAAGATTAAAGTTCAAACGCCAAAGAAACGTAATTTTCCGCGCATGGTACGAAAAGGCGGTGGAAAACCCTTTCCCCCGTTATTCCCTGTAGATCGTTTCTAGACGAGTACCACGGAGAGGAGGATCTCTTCTTTGACGGGGATCATTACGGAGGCTGATTGGCGGGAATCTTGTTAGAGGTTTCGTTTGAATAATCGCCGCTCGAACCGGCGATTTTCATGACTCGATCATCGCGTAATGACGCGTGGAAATCCGTCGCGGCGCCCCTATCGTTTCTTTCCATTCTACGAACAATAATTTCGAGGGTCGATTTCTTGTAAGCATCATTGTCAGCCATGTTTCTTCCTCGTCATAAAGAAAATTCAATTCCATGTTAAATATTCTTAAACGAAAACCATTGCTGTTTCTCAGATTTCTCAGATTTTAAAATGACAAAATTAAGTAATTAAATTAAGAAGTTTCATATATTAAAAACTGTATCGTAATATACCCTCAACGCATCTTTCCACCCATTCTTTTCAATTCAAATACATAAGGGTGAGAAGAGGGAGGTTTATTGTCCTCCGAAGGATCCACGAAAAAAAGAAAAAAGCGACACCGAGTAGCACCTGAAGAAAAACGACGATCTCTTCAGAAAACCTAAAGAAGCTCCACGAAAGAAGGATATTACGAATACGTTTAAGAGAACCCCACAGGTGCGCCGGTTTACACGATCATCCGGGTTCCTTTCCAAACAGCTCTACCACCCTTCCCTGCATGCCGAAGCGCCGCCGGGAAAGGTATACAGGGAGAAAAGCAGGAGGAGGAACGAATAAAACGCGTATCGGAGGTACGCGGCCGGCAGATCAATCTTCGCTTCTTTCCCTATGCGTTCTCTGTACGTGTACGTGTATGCGGCCCCACCCCCGTACGTTTTCCGATCCAG